CCCACTACGCCCTGGCATTGCTGAGCCTCCCTCCCTCTTCTGGTTTTTGCTCCCTCCCTTCTTGCTTCCCTTCTGTCCTTCTGCCTCACTTGACGTGGCAGTGGAAAGCTAACTAGACTCGAGGGAGGAGCTTGCTGGCTGCTGGGAAGGCAGAGTTTGGCAGGAAGTGAGTGGCTGACGGATGGGGTTGCGCGGGGGAAAGGAAGGTTCCCTACCCTGCATGGAAACTTGAGGAATGCTGTCGCTTTCTGTGACGCCTGGCTCTCATGTAGTGATTCCAGATGTTAGTCCCTGCCCACACGATTTGCTCCCTCTCCCTCTGTTGCAGGGATGAAAAGGACTTAATTCATGTGTGTCCCTTCCAGGATTCCTTCTTCTGGTGTGGATGGTTAAAATTTGTGACCAAAAATGCGAACACTTGGAACTCCCATCTTGGCACTGACTGTGCGCTGGGGCAGTGTAACCTACCCTCTCTCAGGGGTGTGAAACACTTGGTGTGTGTGTCGTGCTTTACCTTAGCAAAGCAAGTCAGATACTCTGGGATGGTTCATCCCTGCCCTGGCACAAGGACAGGGGCAGGGAGAAGTGTCTGGTTGTCCTTTGTGAAGGCTGGTGGTCATTGCTGTGATGTTACAGGGGTCATGACAGTCAAGTTTTGGGCATTATAGTCTCAAGCAGTTCAGGTTTCTGTCTATGCTTCCTCATAAACTCTCTGATGGCTACCAAGGGTTGCACTTTGCTGCAGGTTTAAATCTGCTCATTATTTCAGCTGATGTGAATAAAATTCTTCACTTTTGTGCAGGTGAGTTAATTACTATTGCTAAGCCAACAGTAATGGTTGTGATTAATCATACGAGTCCAGGTCTAGTGTCTACAGAGCTTTTGAACTAAATCAGCTTAAAATCTTAGGATGTGTTGTTTAAGTTAAACTTAAACCGAGGCAGCTTTCTGATGTAAACAAGCCATTACAGCTGCTCTGCAGCCTGGGGGAGGAATTATAATTCCTATAAATTATGTTCTGAGGGCAAAAGTGACACAGGTGTGCCTGGGAAAGATGGTCTCAAGATGTGTGTATGTAGTGGGATGACCAGGGCTTCCTGGAGGAGTGACATCTCAGAAATTCAGCCCTTCTACTTGCTAAGATGAGAAGCAGAAAGCAATTGGTAACATCTTGTTTGGGGGAGTGGAATGGTTGGTTCCGCTTGAAAAGCTCAGCTCTCTTGCTTTCAAATATTCCAAACTGTTTTTTGGAGGCTTTTTCCTAATAGTCTTTTAGTGTGCATGTATTTGTACTGTGTGTTTATTATAAATTATTATGTTAATGTTTTTCCATTGGAATAGAGTTTTATTATTGGAGTTTCCAAAGTGCTGTGCATGTATTTAACAGAAACAATTTTACTGAAACCCCAGGCATCTCTGGGGCAGGTTTGTTTACCTATAATGCTTTACATCTTATAGGAGGGAAAGGAGATTAAGAGGTTTAAGTAAGATTAATTTCTTCTAATTTCCCACAGCCCCCAGTTAAAACAATGGCAATGTCTTCTCCCATATCCGCAGACCCTTGTCTCTGTGCAGAAGGTGGTGTTTGTCATAACAGCTACAGGGAAACCTTTAATTAGTTTATTTATGCTCCAAGTGCAAACTGAGATCTGATAATTCTGCCAATTACTTTCTTGTGCTGTGAGTGCCAATTTCCAACCTTAGGGAGCCCACACATGCATCTGTCAGCTTCATTTTGCATGTATCCAAGAGCAGGAACATTTACTTTGCTACTGAGGTAGTCCAGGTGAATGGAGAGAATGCTTGGAGTCAGGCTGGCTTGCTGCTTGCTGAATTCTGTGAACTTCTTGTAGCTTATTACCTACAGGTTAGCAACAAATAATTCAGGTGATATGTATATTATTGCTATATCTGGCCAAAACCCATCTCTAGGATTTAACCACCATAAGGAGATGTGTAGCAACAATAAAGAATGTTGGAATATCAGGCTGCAACTGCAGCATCACGTTTTTCCTGCAGCTATTGTGCTTGCCACCCCACAACTGGAATGGCTCATGGATCCTGGCTGGTTTCCTGGCCATGTGTATTTTCTTTCCCTGGTAGATGCAAAGTACAGAGCCATATGGCTGTATTCTGCACTGTGCTGGGGGCGGGGGAATAATCCTCTGGCACTTTTCTTGCCTCTGCAAGGAGCTTGCAGTCATCTCTTTCTGCAGCTCTCCATGCAGGCTGAGACTCCTGTGGGGAGCAGCAGGCCTGATGAGGGGTAGTTACCCCTACAGTATTCCCAAACCAACACTGAGCACCATTTTCTGTTTTGTACAGTCTGGGAGCCTCTGCCACTGCTGCACCTCCCCTTGGCCTCATGGCTCTAGAGATGAACTCGCAGCCAACGAGCACATTTTATATAACACATACTCTGCTGCTGAAGGACAGTTTTGCTTGATTTTTTTTTTTTCTTCTTATTGATGAAGGGCTATATGAGCAACATAAGCCTCTTGGGATTAGACTGAGGACTTTGAATATAAGATTTCATTAACTACTTTCCCATTTTGATATGTGCTGGTTCTTCCTTCTCTTCCCTCCTGACTCCAAGTCTGGAAAGCTAGAGAGAGAGAGAGAAGCCCTTTTCCCCTCTTGGCCAGGATGCTGCTCAGCCATAGCACACCCTGCCAGATTGCTAACGTATGGGCAGAGTGCTCAGCCAAAGTTTTGAGAGGTTCAGCCCTTGGCAGCTCATTCCACACTTTCCTGTCTCTACATTCAGGAAATGAAGTCAGATTGTTGATATAAAACAGGCTGGGTTGAAAACTGAGAAGCTGGAAAGGCTGAAATGGGGGACTGGGAAGGGGGAGGTGTAGGGAGATGGGGAGCAGCAGGGCCTCCTGCAGGTTTGCCTGGCTTGGGGGCTTCTTGTCTTGTGCCCATGTCCTCCACTTGATTTCTCTTGCTACCTCCCCCTCCAGGACTGATAAGCTGTGCTGGCAGACAGATATTTTATCTTCTGTTGTCTGTAGCAAGATCAGCATGTGGAGATAGTGCTGTCTTGACCACGTGGCAGCATTTATGTGAGAGCTTGGAAAGGGTGAAAGTTGAAACTCTGGCATGTTGTTTCCATATCAGTGACATGGAATTCCCTTATTTTTTGACATTTTTTCCTGAAGAATGACACCAGTGCAGAATTTCTATGGAATTATGTGCGTCTAATGCCAAAAGTTTTTCTCAGACATCTTGAACATCAGCAGATTTTTGTTGAGGTTTTTCTTTTTTTTTCTTTCTTTTTTTTTTTTGTGGTTTGGGTTTTTTGTTTTTGCTTGTTTGTTTTTGTTGTTTTATTTTGGTTTTTTGTTGGGCTTTTTGGGGATTTTTTGGGGGGGAGAGGACATGAGGAGTGGTTAGTGTTTTGTTTTGTTTTTTCACTGGCCCAGGGGCTGTGGAGTGAGTGCAGGGAGTTCCAGTTAAGCAAAGCTGCAGTGGGGATGGTCTGATTTAGGCAGGGGCTCAGCAGTGGTGTTGTTCTCTTCTGGGTCACTAGTTCACCCTAAGTCAGCGTAATGATAACCCAGAGTAACAGAAAGCTGCAAGTTGTTTGTGTCTCACAGAATCTGAAGTAGTCCGAGTAGCTCTGAGATCAGCATGTGGCTGACAGATATCCCATTAGAAAAATGCCTGCCCACATCTAATTAAAACTGATCAGCAGAATTAGAAAGTCCAGGGAAATTTGCTTTGAAGAATTCTCCTGTTTTCATGGCCTGGCATATTTGAGAGGGAGACTGGCAGCAGCCCAAGTGATCTCTTCTGTTTTCTAGGTGCTGTTCTTTGAGATATTCTCATTGCATATGATTTGTAATGAACTGGTACAGTTTGATCTTTAGGATATCTCAGTACTGTGAGGTGCTGGTATCCTTAGCAAACTCAAGTCAATTTAGCTGAAGTTTAAAGGATATTAGGACTTGGAATTATCTGGGTGTTAGAGCTCAGCAGCTTTGTCACTTGTACCTGCTCCTCTGCCCTGCCCTTCCTTCCTAGTCAGCTCTTCAGGATCTCCCCTCACTGACCATCTTTGTTTTCCATACTGTTTCCCCGAGTCATGATCATGTTGTTTCCAGCCAAGAAAAGTCTACAAACACACAAGATCTCACAAGGGGACAGGCTAACATGCTTGCTTTGCATATAGGAGTGTGCTCTGGGTTTGGTTTAGTCTTGGATAGCTGCATCCTGCCTTTTGGAGACCGGTGTGAGGGCTCCCTCTCTTGTCATGCTGGGGTATAATTCCCAGCTGGAATAGGATGCTCCAAATGAGGGCCTTAAACCAAATTCAGTTCTATGAATTTGCTGTAGATCCGGATTTGAGACTAAGCAGAGGTTATAATTTCTGGCTTCGTTTCTGAATGCAAATGTAAAAGTTAAGATCAGGTTTTGGTGGATTTTTTAAAATGAAGGTGAAAGGTTCACAGTAAACTAATAGAGTGTAGGGCTAGGACATTGATAGGATGAAGTAACAAAATCAGCAAGTCAAATTTTCTGAAGAGGTGAATATAATTTATATATATATATATATATATATATATTTTCACATGTTTGTGTATATATATATATACCAGATCTTTAACATAATATTTAACATCAAGGTTTATTGACACTTAACTTCTGTATCAAACCAGCTTCTCTATTACATCCCTGTCTTTTCCTGAACCTGGATTGACCCCTTTGCTGAGGAGAGTGGGATCACAGCACAATCTGAGGAAGTTGGATATTGCTGTGCTGGTGCCTGGTCCTGGAGGAATTAATGGGACAGGGTTGTTGGGCCACATCACAAAAGCAGCTGGGAAGGACAAAGTCTTGTTTCCAGATTTCCTCTTCTCTCACAGACTCAAGGAAACAGAGGACCTGGGTCTGAGAATGCCTCTCTGCTGATGAGGAGCCCTGCTGCTGATATTCTGTGCAGAGCAGAGGTGCCCCTGGAGCAGGGAGTGACTTGTTTCTCATTCCCTTTTCAGGAGAAGGAGAAGAAGTACATGTTACCAGTGGATAACCTGAAACTGCGAGATGTGGAGAAGGGCTTCATGTCCAGCAAGCACATCTTTGCTCTCTTCAACACTGAACAGAGGTATGCTCCCATCTCAGCACACCAAGCTGCTGGAGCTAGGATAGGATTTATGTAACAGAGTAGGGATGATGTGATAGGATAGCTGTCCAGGAAAGATATGAGTGTCCTTTCAGGACAGCCAGTTCTGAAGGAGATGGGAGGACTTAACATTATTCCTTCTGATTTTACAGATATGTATAATTTTCCTTTTGTTTGCCAGTGCATGGCTTGTGGTGTGAAATTAACCCTTCAGCCTTTTGGTGTGGTTACCTCAGTCTGCCTGTGGCTGGGATATATATTTATAATCACAATGTTCTTGGTGACTAGGAAAATCCATAGGACATGGGATGGGTGGAGGAGTCCAGCAGCAGGCAGAATTGAAAAGGGAATCTTTTACATGCCTTGTTGAAACACACAACTGATTTGAGAGCAATCAAACTTGGTTAAAAAAATCCATTTCCTTTTGCAGGATCATCATGAGTTCCTAGCAAGTGACCAAGTATATCTGTCTTCAAATGACAGGAGAATTCCCTAGTCATTGATATCTTTGTCAGATATGGGCAAATCTCTGAGTTGAGAGAGAGAATAATAAAATATATTTCTTCCTGTCAGGAATGTTTACAAGGACTACCGGCAGCTGGAGCTGGCCTGTGAGACCCAGGAGGAGGTGGACAGCTGGAAGGCTTCCTTCCTTCGGGCAGGAGTCTACCCTGAGCGTGTTGGGGTAAGTGACAGCTGTAATAATGGGATAAGGAGGAGCACAGCATGTGTCTTGAGAAGCATAGCTGCATCTTCTTGTGTTAAAAATAAGTCTGAAGATTTTGCCTTTCCAGAGCTGAGAATCTTTCTGGTGCTTCCGTTAGGGAAGCTTGAGATAAAGTAACTGGCAGCTTCAAAGCAAAGATAAAGTAGGAAAAGACTGCCTTGATAAATCCTTCTAGCTGTCTTGTTTTGTGGACATGAAGTTGACAATATGAGGGTGACATTTAACTACCGTGACTATTAATTGGTATGATATCCACTGAGCAAAGGCACTATTTCTGTTTGGTAACTGTATAGCCTTATTAGGAACTTCCTGACTTAGCAGTTGTTCTCCCTTTCCTTCCTCCAATTAATTAGGTAGTGATGTTCTTTGAATTATTCTTTTGCTTTGTGGATACTCTAATATGCTCCTTTAGCAAGAACTCTTATCTCTTCCCTTCCTCTTGTCCCACAGCACTTCTTGTCAGCATTATTTTGTGCTTTAAGAGTATCTTCTAGACAACTGTGGTATTTGTTTCTGTTCAAAGTCTTTCCTGTTCCTCTGTTAGAGGAAGCTACTATAAATAGTTTTCCCATTAGAAAAGTGATAATTGTTTTTCTGTTTGTATTTGTTGCTTCTAATAGATTTCTTGTATTCATTTGTCCTGTTACACTTGAATATTGCTGCTTTTGCCTTAAAGTATTTCCTAACAAACTGATAAAGAGATTTTAAAAATAGAGTTAGGGACTGGGCTTTAGCAGTGACATGACTTCAGATTAGCTTTGGACCAGACTGGGCCTCTTAACCACAGTGGCCATGGGCCGCCTGTTGCTGTGCAGGTGGAGGGGTGTGACATGGGAGCCCTGGTCCCTGTCTCAAAACCCCTCTAAGGAATGGCAGTGGCCCTTGCAGGTAAGAAAGTTGTCCTTTGTTGCTAACAATATGGATTCCTTTGCAGAGCATCTCACTTTTCAGTTTAGCTAAACAGTTCACTTGTTCCCCTTCTAGGGTAATAGGGGTACTGATGTATTTTTAGTGGGATTGGTCTTTTGCTTGTCAGTGCTATTATGGGACCTTCTCCAAATTCTGAGACCAACTAAAAGTTATTTTTTATTTTTTTGTCCCTTTTTGTTTTAATTTTTTCCATGTATGCTCAAACTGGCCTGCCAGGACAAGGACAAAGTAAGTCTGACCCGCTCTGCCTGTGTTGCCTCCTGGGGCTCTCACCAGATAGATCTCTCATTTTTTTTCTCCTTTTGTCACAATTTCCTGAGAGGATTTGCTTCTTCTCCCTCTTTGTACCCTCTGTTGGATTCCTGGTGTCTGTTTCTGCTCTTGGTTTGAGTTTTCCTTTTTTCTTTTTATTCCTCCCTTTTTGTATGACTCTGGATCTTGGTGCAAGCTTATTTTTGGCTTTTTTTACCCTCACTTTTTTTAAGTTGTCCTATTTGACATCCACTTCCTTTACTTTTTTCACACTGAAACCTTACATTCCTTCATTATGTAAGATCTTCTCAGCAAAAGCTCAAATGAACAAAAGCATTTGCCCTTTCTCATATATTTTGTTCCCCAAAACAAAAGAGAAGCCATTTCCTACATGGCAAATTGTTCAGACTAGGGCTGCTTAAAACAAAGATCTTTCATTATACAATCATGGGTTTTTTTTTTAAATAAGCAGTGAGGAAGGCAGCAGTTCTTTCATGCTTCAATGCTTCGAAATTGATCCCAAATGGAGGAGCCTTGGAGATGGCTTGCTGTCAAACAGCACAGTCCAGGTTTTACCTTACAGAATAAGCAATGTATTTCAGGCAAGCAGGAAAGAGATTCATCCACTTGGTGTGAAAGAAAATATAATAACAACTTATGCTGCAGGAGTTGCAGTTGAAGTGATAGGAAAGTTTTCTAGTTCATTCCATCTACTTGTGGTCAGCCTGAGAGGAGCAGTTGTTTCACTTCTCTGTATCTGTTTTCTCATTTGTATAATGAGTACAAAGATGCAGCATGGCAGAGAGCCTGTGAGACTTAATTTATGGTGAATGATCTTGGTTTTAACTGACTCTGGTAATGGAAAACCCAGATCAAATGAAGAACCTTTCAGGAAGCTGTAAACATTAAAAAGGAATAATACAGCTTTGAGTTTGCACCAGAGCCATAACCTCTGAACATGTGTCAGGAGTCCCTGTTGCCTTTCACCTTTTCTTAATAACTTTCTACTAAGAGAGCAGCTTTATTGCTAAAATTTCTCAGATCTGAGCTGGAGAAGTCTGTACAAACTAAGTTGTGCATTGACAATCACAGCTCAAAATGTAAGTTTAAGTTTTATTTATTGCATGCGCTTCCTGCCTGTTCCTTTCTCCTCTTCTCTTAGTTCTCATGGAAAGCCAATTTTGTGTTACATTTGAAGAACCAATACGTTTCTCCTTTTTTTCTGCAGGCCAGTGAAGCAGAGGAGAATGGAGGAGATAGCTTCATGCACTCCATGGATCCTCAGCTGGAGAGACAAGTGGAAACGATCAGGAACCTGGTGGATTCCTACATGGCAATTGTCAACAAAACCATCAGAGACCTCATGCCGAAGACAATTATGCACCTCATGATTAACAATGTACTTATCTCACTGTGGTCAGTGGAAGTGGGAGAGGCAGAAAGGAGAAAAATAGGGAGGGAGGAAAAGAATGAAGAAAAACAGAAGGCAGCTTGGAAGGAAGAGATGGGGGCAGAATAGAGTGTTTTGGGGAAAGATGGTGAAAACTGATTCCCTCTCTCTTCTCACTTACAGACCAAGGACTTCATCCATTCAGAGCTGCTGGCGAACCTGTACTCTTGTGGTGACCAGAACACGCTGATGGAGGAGTCGGCGGAGCAGGCCCAGCGCCGTGACGAAATGCTGCGCATGTACCACGCCCTGAAAGAGGCCCTCAACATCATCGGGGACATCAACACCAGCACCATCAGCACCCCCATGCCCCCACCGGTGGACGACTCCTGGCTGCAGGTGCAGAGCGTACCGTCTGGACGCAGGTACCAGAGGCTCAGGGGGAGAGCCCCGCAGACCTGCCTGATGCCTCTTCAGTGCCTTGCCGGGGCCTCCCACTGACACAGGGAGTCCTCTCCTTCCTGTGGATGAAGAGTCCTGGGTATTTCTGCTGGCAGGCTCCTAGGACATCTTTACAGAGATGTTGAGATGTTCTAAACCCTTGGGTTGTATGGGGCTGACAGCTTTGAAGGCATCCGGGGGCCTGGTGTGGCCCTTGAAAGCCGAAGGGTGGAGTGTAAAGTGATGTGAAGTACTGAAGGCAGAGTGGTGCCTGTGGTGACATAGGGATCCCAGAGCTGTTGCTGCAGTTGAATGCCTTTGTTTGTTTGGCAGGTCCCCCACATCCAGCCCCACGCCGCAGAGGAGAGCTCCTGCAGTGCCCCCCGCCAGACCTGGGTCTCGCGGACCAGCTCCTGGGCCACCTCCTGCTGGTGGCTCCACACTGGGTGGTGCCCCCCCTGTGCCCTCCAGGCCAGGTGCCTCTCCTGATCCCTTCGGGCCCCCACCTCAGGTTCCTTCTCGGCCTAATCGTGCTCCTCCTGGTGTTCCCAGGTAAGTCCTGAAACACTGCTCCATGCAGGTGGAGTATGTTCTGGTTTTGGATTGGAACCTTGGCAGCACTTGGCCTGCCTGGGCCATAGGAGGAGAATGGAGTGCATGGTGTGGGTAGAGCCTTTGGATATTTGGATTGGATCCAGAGGCAGGAGCACCGTTGTCCTCTTGAGATTTCATTGTATGGATGAGGCAATGCCAAAGCAGCTCTCAGAAACAGAGGGGCAGCTGTTCCTCTCTACAAACCTCTATAAAGAATGTGGGAGAAGATCTCTAAACCAAGGTTTACAGCAATTGTTCCAATGCCTGTAGTCACCAGATAAATCACAGGACTAGGGTGAGATTCCCCTCTGTGTAGGTCTCCTCATAGTCTGAAGTTGCCCCTTTTCTCTTGGCCCAGAGTTCTTCAAGGTGAGTTGGAAGACCTTCAAAGCTGTTCAGTTGCTTTCTGGCTGGGAGAGTATCACAGCATCACTGGCAGGGAAATGAATTCTTAGGCGATTTTGGTGTTTGTGTAATCAACTTCAGCATTTTCCAGTCTAGAGGGTTCAAATCACACAGCTTTGCTTTCCCATTAGGAAACTCATTTCCTTTCCTGTTCAGTCACTTCAGACACACTTCAACATAGTAATAAGGGATTATCCCCGTGCAGCTGAGTACGTGTTCCTGAACAGGACTTGGGAGGCAGTCTGGAACCAGGAATGCTTTTATGTTGGGTACTTAGTTTCCCTTGAGGAGGGGGAGGTAATTGCAGTGTAAAGAAAAAACATAATCAGAAGCTCCCCAGTGACATGGCAGAGGAAATGCTTCCCTTGTGGAAAACACCTCTTCAGTGAGTGCTGGTGGCACAGGTGTGAAACTTCACCCTTTTCTGTGGAAACACCAAGCCTATCTATGGCTGGGGATGGTGTGTGGCAGACTGGGTTCAGTATTCCTCCTGTGATATTGCCCAGCTCATTTTTGGTGCTGCCTGTTTGGAGGGAAGTGTTCTCTGCCAGACTGCAGCCAGCCTAGAGGTGGATGAGTCCAGACAGCTTCATATACCAGTTTCTGACACTGGTGTATGCAAATGGTTTTACTTTCTTGGTGCCTTTGCCCCAGTCCTTCCTATGCACCTTGATGCAGCTCCCACAGTAACTTGTCCTCACATACCTCAGTGTTGTCCTGGAGACTGTGGAGGCACCTATGGATGTCAGCATGCTTCTACTGTGTATTTTGGCTCCTGCTTCTTGTGACCCTGCCTTTCCATATACTGTTACTTTGTGGTTTTGTTTTCAGTATACTTACGCTTCTTTCTGTCTCCATCTCCCTCCTTTCACTCAGTTTCATTTCTTCACTCATGAAAAATATTCTATATACCTGGCTGTCGTGATAGGATTCCCCAAATGGGCTGAAATGAATTGGCCTTTTTTTAAAGAAATCTGTCATTGCCTATCTTAATGGCTTTTCTGCCTTTTGCATGAGTACAAGGGTTTAGGGAAAGGCAGGGAAAACAGCACTGGAGCAGAGGAGAAAAGAGTTTCATGCTTGACTGAGCAACCCCTTGGTTTAGGAGAGATGGTAGGTTGGATTGCATGCTACTGACTGCCCTGATCTGGAGTTGAGAATGTAATTCCAGAAGCTGTGAAGTATGATGCTCATTCTCTGATCCCCCTCTCTGATTCTTCCAGTTGTTCATAGACTCCTCCGGATCCTGATACCAGCTTGTCATTTGAGTTCACTGATGAATGGAGAATTTCCAATGACAAGGGACTCTTTCTCTTCCTCTCCTGTATATAGAATAAGAATGTTCCCTGCTAGCACTTGGACTCGGGTCCTTCTGCCATGGGTGAACGAATGCCATCTCCATTGTTGCTTTTTTAATACCCATCTTTCCCTTGCTAACCGGGCTGTGTAGTGTGTGTGTGAGAGAACAAAGCCCTCGTGTTCAGCACGAGTGGGCTTTGCTGGAGGAGTTGGTGGTGTGGAGTGAACTCGAATGGGTGCTGGTGGCTGGCTGTACTTTGTGTGCTCAGTGATGCCTGTGTAAAAGTTTGGTAGTTCTGTGCCTCTGGTTTGAGCAGCTGGTTTTATGAATGATGAACTCACACAAGTGTCATGCTACTCCTTTTTCATAAACATAAGTGTATAAACACATTTTCACATGTAATCACCACATGGTACATTTTTTTGCACAGAAAGATTTTCCTGCATATAATTAAGGACACTTAAGACTTACCATCCTGCTTCTGTGCTTAGCATTTATTCTATTTACTGTGGAAGTCCATATAGACAAATACATAATTTTGGGAGCTGAAAGTTACAAACCGTCCAAGATCCTATCAGTGTGCAATGGGCTGCATTTAGGATTTGACCTGGGAAAGAAATCTGTTAAGGTATTCCCCCATGTATTTAGGCTCTTTAGTTTAAAATAGTCTGATGGAACTTGTAGGTAGAAGAGCTTGAAGGAGAATTAAAGGAGTTTCAGTGCAAATGACTCAACCATTGGAAAAATGTGTTGAAGGTGTTAATGTGTTCTCCATTCTTTGGTGTCATAAGGGCTTGGGTCTGGGGTTACCTCCTGGCAGGGATGGTTCTCACTGGCTGCTGTGCTGGTCAGTACAATGGGGACATATCACTGGAACTCCCAAAGGTTCTTGGACACACAGTTTCAAGGGACAGAATTATCTCTTTAGTGATTTAGTGGCCAATGTCTGTGCCCATGGCCAGGGCTTGGAACTAGGTGATCTTTAAGGTCCCTTCCAACCCAAACCATTCTATGGTAAGGTCACACAGCTGTATGACCCAAATTATTCAGAAGGTCAAAGTAGCTGATTTCATGATTTATGACCTTCAGAAAAGCCTCCACCTGCTTTGTGCTGTTTTAGGTAGTGCTCGGGACTGCATGTTATCTCCCTCTTTCCTGAGCTCTTTCTTAAACATTTAATTTGGTCAGAAGATAGGAGTCCTCAGTGAGAGACAAGCCCAGATATCTGTGCCCAGCTGGTGGGTGCTGAAACCTGGGTATGACACTGCTGTGAACGTCAGCCTGGATGTGTGAGGAACAGCCAGTAGGTGTGTGGATGGATGGATGGGTTTTGGTGCACTCCTGTGCACGACAGGGTCTGGATGTGTGGAAAGATGAGGCCGAGTGTTTTCTGTGTGTTTGCAGTCCCCCTACTCATGCTGTGTTTGGAGGGGGATGTGTGACTGTGTCTGTGCAAGCGGCTGTGTGTCTGTTCCACCTTCCTGACAGTCTGTGTGGCCTCTGCCTTGAACTGTCTGAACTGCCATGTTGATTTCGTGTTGTCTTTCAGAATCACTATCAGTGACCCCTGAGGACTGGCAGCCACGGTAGGTTTCGCACTCTCGCTGCGATGCATGAGTCACTGTGTCCCCATCCTCCAGCACCGCTCTGCAGCTCTCCTCCGCTGCCCAGTTCTTGTGTTAGTAACAGAGTCCCTTGTCTGATGAACCACCTCTGCCAGGATCTCATAAAGGGAGGAGTCTTGAACAGAAAAACTGGCTGATCAGAGCCAGAGCAGCTGCTTGAGCTGCAGGAGCTGGGAAAGCTTCAGTACCTGATTTAAGGTCTGGAGGAACCTTTCTCTGCTTCTAAATAGAGAAGGTGGGATGGGGGAATGAGCTCTGGCAACAAGGTCTAAACTCTTGTGTCTTTCATTTGGCTTATATCCACACTGATTGTAAGATCAGCTGAATAAACTCTGCATTGATTTGGTCTGTCAGCTCTGTTAGGAATCAAGACAGAGACTTGGGGAGCTGATAGTTCAGACTCCTCTTCTTATATTCCAATGTCTGGCTGGAGAAGTGCTCCCATCCTCTCTGTATCCCTAGTGCCCATGGAAGTTAAGAGGAGTTTGGGTTATTAATATCAGGACTTCCATGTCTGAGTGCAGGGTAACTCTGACATTGAATGTTCCCTTTTATCCTTGTGTCCCATCATCAGATGGATGTGAACTCCCTTTGTTTGTTCTCCCCTTGACCCTTTACCTTCTAGGTTACTCTCCTGCTTCCATTCAAACTGCCTTCTCTCCTTTGCCTCCTGCCCCTGCAAGAGGAAGGGTGTAGTGATCTGTGTCCCTCAAACACTCTGCCCTGAGCTCCTGCCCATTTCCCTGTCCTCTCTCTCCTGCATTGTGCAGCATTGTAGTGGTTCAGTGATGTAGCAGGGTGTGGATTTGTGCTGTGTACTGCTCATCCTCTTAATATCAGTGTGAAGAGGGACATCAGCAAATTCCCCCGAGTCCTTTCCTTGGGAGCCTCCAGCCCTTATTGACAAAGAGGTACAGAGGGCAAAACACCACATGTGTGGATTTTTTGGGCCTCTTCTCCCTTTCTCTGTGGATGTTGTTTCATGACAGAGGAGTGGAGAAGCAGCAGCTCCTGCAGATTCCCTTGCTGCTGATTGTGGCAGAGAGATCTGGGGGCGAGGAACACGTGCTGAAATCCTACTTTAATAAGAATAGCAGAAGTTCAAGCCCCTGTTCTGGGGCAGGGGTTCTCAGGCAGCCTGCATCTTGCAGTAGATGGTGCCTGTTACTGCTGCACAGAACTGCAGTTAGAGCTGAGAGGTGCCACATTGCGGTGATTGCTCATGACTGACATCTTTGGGGACGTCATCGTCAACCCTCCTCATTGATGACACACTGCAGAGGTGTTGGAGCAATCAGCAGTTCCCTCCCATATTCTGCCTACTGCAGACATCCCTGGCAGCCCTGGAAACATGCATCCTGGGTGAACAACTTTGGGAAGGAGCCTTACTGTTGTCTGTACCCCATTCTGGGACTCGCTGTTATGGGGCATTCTGTTTTTAATCTGGCATAAAGAGCACCAAGGAAATAAAAATTAAAAACAGAAAACCAAAAACAAACCACCAAATGATCAAAAAAAATTATACCCAAAATCTTTTGCAGTCCAAGGGAATAAGCATAATATTTTCCCACCTCTGTTGGGTGCTTATCAACAGAACTCCCTATTAGCCCAGTGGTTCTTAGATAGGATTAGCTCAGTGTTCTCTCTGGGTATGGCCTGAAAGTCTGACTTCAAAGGATGTGACAGTCACTGGAACTCATCTCCCTGGGCTCCTGCCAGGGCTCAGGTTTTCCTTCTTATGTAGTGGAGACAGCCACAGGCTTCCCTGTGAGCAAAACTTTGTTCCTTGTCCTGACAGAGGAAAGTGACTTTTCAGTGATATAAAAAGGCTTGGCTAGCAATGTAGTCCAACTAAAGCAGCATTTTGGGGATAAATGTTTCCTGAGAGACTTCTCTGCCCTTCTTAGTGCTAGTAAACAGTTTTCAGCCTTTCCTAACCTTACCAGGCAGATTCTGCAGTCATCTCCAGAAAACCTCACCAGAAAAAGCCTACAAGTTTAAAAAGTAGCCTCATACCTTAAAATGCTTTGAATGCTGAGAGAAGTAAGTCTGCAAAAGTCATAGTACATAACAAAAAAGCAGCCCATCTACCTGTGAATTACTTGTGCTCCTTTCAGCCCTATTTGTCCTGCTAGAGTCAAGTGGCCACTCCTGCCAGAACACTTTACGTACTCTGGCTTCAAGCATCTTTTTCATGTGAACCCTCAGAGGCTTTTAGCACAACCTGTGCAAACTCCTGAAATGCAAACAGTCCTTTCACCTTGTCAGAAAATGCCTTCTAACATGATGATACAACAGCATCTCACTAAATGTCAAGCTGAAGTTCTGTAAGGTTTTAATTCAGGTGCTGTTGCTGTTCCAGTGACAGTAGAAGCCACCAAAGGGTTGGTGTGGCTGCATTTACACCTTGAGCACCCTTAGAGATAATGCACAGATCCCACATGTCACGAAGCTGTGAGGCTTAATAGATCTGGGGCAGTAAGTTCTGCTGAGGTTTAATGAGCAGGACTGGGGAGTTGCTCTGGTTTATTTCCTAAATGAGGGAACTTGCCCTGATTTATAGGAGTGTAACTCCTCTAGTGCTGGTGTGATTATAGACTACTGGTACACATATCCTCATTTCTAGCAGTGAGTTGATTCTCTGTAATCTAAATCTTGTCAGTGTGGAATTACTGAGGCATTAAATCTGTGACACCTGGTCCTGTATGATCGGTGCAAGGGCCTCCCCTCCATTTAGTCTATATGCTGTTGGCTTTGCTCTTTGCATTTCAGGCAGTTTGGACCTTAAAACTACCCTGGCTTGGTATTTAACAATTCATTTATCTTAATGAAACGTCAGCAAAATGCAGTTGAGGTCGCAGATGCTGCAGGGAGCATACTTTAAAGGAAAAGTACAGATTGGACTCTTACAGAACACATTTTTATTTATAGCTTTCTTCCAGTCTGTAGTCTTGAGACTGAAGTGATGTTGCAGCTGAGAGCCATGTCAGGGGTGTTGTCTTGTTTGTTTTTGTTGTGGCTTTTTTTCCCCCCAGTCTCTTACAGGAAGGAGATTCTAGAACACTTAATTCATGCAGAGGGCAAACACTTAAGCTGCTGCCCATTTATGTAGCTAAAGTATCAACAAAAGAGTTGGAACAGAATGGAGAAGAAGTAGCAGAAGTTCCTTTTATCAAAGTAGAAGCTGCATTTGCTCTGTGCAAGAACTGGGAAACTCAAAGCTGTAAGCTTGCCCCTGACATCCAAGATCAGTCTCATGTCAGAGCAGGGAATCTCAGGCTTGCAGTAACTTCAAGGGCAGGGGTAGAAGGTGCTCCTCCAATTCAGCCAAGAGCCTCTGGCAGCAGCGCGTCTCAGAGGACCCCATCCATGCTGTGTGACTGTCATGTGCTTGATACAGGAGCTCACTGTTGTCCATGCTTCTCCACTCATCCCAGAGCCAGGGCACTTACTGGCAGCAAATCTCTGCACTTCCAAATTTCATAGGGAAGCACAACTGGCAGTCCAGGGGATTGTTCTACTGGTGATCTGTGCTGTGCAGAAAGGCCGGTGCGAGGCAGGGTAGAAGCCTGTGAGCCTCCTTTGTGGAGCTGTGCTCTGGGGGTTTGTGCCTCAGGTTGGATTCTTTTACTGGCTCAGGCAAAGTGGAGAAGCATGTGTGGTTGTGACTGCAATTGCTGTGCTAACCACAGTGTGTGTTCTCTTGTTTTTGTTTCCTGCTTTTTCACAGCAGAAGGGGCCCCGCCTCACCTACTCGACCTACCATAATCCGACCGGCTGAACCGTCCCTCTTAGATTTATAACTTGAGGCTGTAGACAGCTGGCGACGAGTGCCGTGCTGGTGGCTTCCCCATTCCACCCTCCCTTCCACAGCCACAGTCACTCCTCTCATCCATCCCACATCCCTGCCTCCCACCACCCCTCCCTGGTGTGTCGTAAAACTCTAGCCTAGTGATTGAGCTCTTCGTCTTCGCTCGTGCGTCCTGTATTGCTTTGTGAGCATAGAGTAGCCTTCATTCAGTGGCATGGATCCCTGAAGTACACGGGCTCCTTGGAGAGATCAGCCACAGGGACATCCTCAGGTCCACGTGGTGGCTGTCCGTCCAGTAATTCCACCTGCCTAGTCTAGCTTGGATAAGTGTCCTGCCTGCGCCAGTTAGCTGTAGCACCCAGGACTGAACTGTAGCTGTTTTCTTTCCTTGTAGTTTAAGACAAAAGCGTGGCTTAGTAAAAATGCGCTGTCAAAACACACGACACCTGTTAGGAACAGATTAAATGTCCTGTGTATTAGCTTGACTTCTAAGGTGCAAAAATTTCATGTTGGGAACAGTGCAATCAACTTCATATCTAAGTGAGGCAGAGAGATCAGTAAGGGGGGTATCAGTGGACCAGCCCAGTCCTGCCCGAGTGAAGTCTGAGATAGCGCACACACCTCGGCGTGCAGGGAGCTCACGGACCTGCTCACACTCGGCTCCTGGAGCCGGGCCATTCCTGCTGGGGGCATGCTGGCTCCTGCCAGCACTTGTCTTGCATCACCAATTTTGGCTGACTTTCCTGAACCCAGCAGGGCGAGGGGAATAGACACGCTGCTCCCCCCTTGCGAACGGACAGCCAAACGTTTCAGGGAGTTCACTGTGTGGTGTTTTGTTGAAAATATTTCTGCTTTGAACTAAGCACATCTTTCAGTGTTTTTTGGGGTACTGTGGTGACTTTTTCCGTAGCCTTTTCTTGCATGTGGATGGTACGTGTTTGGGGAAACTTGTAACCATTGTTGATCACAACTCATCTTGAAGTTTGGTTTTTACTTTTCATGCTACGTGTGTTTAAAGAAAAAAAAAAAAAGACTTGAGAATTAAAAAAATATATCAACCCTGTACATCTCAGATGTCATGTCTCTACCAGAGCTAAATGAACCACCCGTGTTGCGGGCTGTCCTCCAGGCCTGATTGCTGTTGAAGTTCTCTCGTTTTAGTGCTATTACTCTAAATTTCTGCTGTGGATCCTCTGTTGTTCTGATGCCAGTTCCTTTCTGTATTTTAACGATTGTTTTACTACTTCTCCCCCTTCTCCTTCCCTTTCCCTTTTCCTTTTTCTTTGTTTTTCTTGTCTTTAACCTCCAGCCGGCCGGGTAAGGCCAGTCCCGCCCGCCCGGAGAGCCCAAAACCACCATTTGACATGTAGGCCTGCTCCCTCTGAGACTCTTTGCCTGCCTCTTAGCTGTTCTGTCCTGGAATGGTCTGACTCGAATCTCACACATGGCTTGTTTTGTTTGTAATTTGTGACACACACATATCAGATGTGATTGTAGTGAAACTGTTTTGGGGTTTGTTTGGGTTTTTTTTTTTTTGTCTTTTTATTTTTTCCTTGGGTTTTTTTTTTCCTTCCCAGCTGCTTAAAGGAGTTAAACAAGTATATTGTAGTAATGAGAAACATATCTTTACTGTTATAAATATCTATAAATATATATATAAGATGAAAAATCTATATATGTCCAGGTGTTAAAAGCCATTTGTGCTTCCATGTGAATTTTAGGAAATACTTAAGTAGGAAAAGAATATCTATATACATATATATATATACACACACACATCCAAAAAGTTAACCAAATCCCAATGTTGAGTTTTTGAGCTGATTGTTAAATTCTCTGCTGTGTGCAGTTGGGTTATTGTATTACCCCAGACTTGTGGGTGAACTGTCTCAGTGCTGGTAGTAGCTGTGATGCAGTTTGTGATCTACCTGTCACTCTTGTTTATTGGATGAAATAAACTCTCATTTCTGTATAATGAAGGTCTCCATGACTAGAATAAAACCATCTCTCTTTCTCTTGCTTTTTCTCTGGGTGGTTTTCAAGCTGTATTTGATTATAACCTGATCTTTTCATCCCATACAGTTAACAAGCTGTACATGCAATCAGGAGCTGTCACTGATAGGGAAGGTGGAGCAGATCTGCATCAGCACTGAGTGTGCAGGAGCTGCAGTAGAGTGAAACAGCTTGTCAGGTGCAGAAAGGTAAATCCCTGTGCAGAAGGAATTGTGTGGAGGTGCTTCAGAGATGGGGCATACAGAAGGTGGGAGTTTGCACACAAATTGCTTCTTAAAAGGAATTTTTGCCTGGAGTGCTTGAGGAGTGGACATTGAGTAAATGTGAGGTCCAGGAATCACTCCTGAAAGGAGTCAGGGTAAAAAATTAATCTGAAGCCAGAAATTATATTAAATGCTAGCTAAGAGCTACCTCTCAGGTTTGTCAGGAGTCTCTACAGAAAACATTCAGGAAAGCTCAGTGAAAATGGCATCACTGTCAGGACAGGTGCTTTCAATAAAGAATTCATTCTTCTCTTTTTCTGGCCAAATTTCAAAGTGGTCTATGCAAAAAAATACCTCTAGTCAGTGCCCCTCTGAATAAGTTTATTCAGAAAGCAGATTTTAACAGGGTTAAGTCACCTCTGCAACAGACCACAGAACTTCTTCACTGGTCTTGTCTCCTTCACAGTTCTAAAGTAAACACCCAATAGCTATTTATTCCTTTTACATTAATACTCTTGTCTTAAATCACAGCTCTTCCCCATTTAGTTGTGATACAGATTTATGAATAGCCTGACTAGCTGTAAACACTGAACAGGCTTAGTCTCTCCTCAAGGAATATACACTATTTTACACAGATACAGGATGTCCATACCCCATGCTCTGGGGAGCCCGATTACTTGTGCTGAGGTGAGACTGACACCACTCGTGCCATTTAAATGAAATGAATTCAAAAACCAGCCTCCCCTGGGGGCTCACAGGGAAGCACTGACTGTGCTGTGTGACCCATCTCTCCTGTTGAACAGACACAGATCTGTGTTCCTGTGCTTCCATCTTGTATCTCAGCAGGTAACAGGGTTGCAGCTGATGCTGCTTCAGGCACCAGCCCAAACTCCTGTGGTTTGATTACACAGCTCCAGTGATGAGGTCCCTTTAACCTTCCATGTGGTTTCCCTCAAAACTCCACTGCTGACACCACCCATCCTAAGAACAGGCAGTTCTTGCCTGAATGCAGAATCAGTTGCAGGGTATTGACACGCAGTTCACATGGCATAAATCTCCACACCCAGATTTGTTTTGCTGTTTCAGGGAGTGCTCTTCTCCCTCCATGTTCTATTTTCTCCTTAGAATCAGGGCTATGGCTTCAAGGCAGGGCCAGGTAGTACCAGCCTTGCTGCTCTATGTCCCAGGACCTTAAACATGAGTCATGGGATCTTGGTTTCCACTCATCTCCTTCAATTCTTACCAAAATGGGAGAAGAGGAAAGTTCAGAGATGGAGAACTAGAACCCCTAAAGTCCAGAAATTCAAAACGAAGCATGTTTATTAAGTGGTTTCCTTTTACTTAATTTCTCCCATTTCTTAAAATAAATAAAACCTTCAGACATACAAGTGAAACACATCATCCTTCAAAGTGCAGTTACATTTCCACCCCACTCCCAAGAATCACATAAAGCTTTGTCAAGTAACCAAAAGACCCCTCAAGGCTCCCATCGGTCCCTTCCCCTGGCAATGAGAACAGACAGGGCTGTGCTGCCCAGGAGCTGCCTGCTGGGGCCCTGTTCAGAAATACAGGTGCAAGAGACAGGGCTGCAGCAGCAAGGGGGAATTTAGGATACGTAGTATGAAAACAAACCCAACCTGCTGAGAGTCCAAAGAGTCCATTACCAGAACAGTTAGTTATTTTGGGAGCCCTGGAAGGAACTGGGCTGATGACAGGTGTGAGTGATGGATCAGAACCGTGTGAAGCTCCTGTGGCAGCAGAATCTGGGACAAGGGATCAAGTCGTTTTGCCAAAAGTCATGGACTCCCTTTGCCCCCAGTCTGGGCCTGGCCTAGGTGATGTGGCAGCACCAGCTGCCTCCCAGGATGAGTTAAGAGTCTGCCTGTACTCCAAGCACACCAAGTAACAGAGAAAAGAGAAGATGAGGTCTGATGCTTGAGTTCCATCAGATACAATCTCTTTTTACTGATGTCTTTAGGAAGCTGTTCTCACCAAGGGCAATGAGCAGAGGTATGGGCACGTCCAAGTCCGTCAAGTCCTTTGAGGCCCACAGAAGGTTGCTGTCAGTAAGATATAGCACCACTTAAACTACCATGATCTTGACCTCATCATTCTCATCAGCACGGTAGAAGAAGGGAATGCATGGGTTTTCCAGCAGGGAGCCCAGCCTCTCCTGAGGGTTCTGGATTTCTCTGAGCAGCTGCATTATTTGCTTTGCTGTGGGGTCCTCTTGGTTTGGCTGCGCAGCTCTACTGTCAGCAGGGGGGAAACCGGATTGATGAACAGCAGCCTCGCGTTCTGCTTCATCTGACAGATTCACCTCTCGTAACCCTGCAAGGAGCACAGACAAGGCAGGCAGGTAACTCCTCCCATCCACACGCAAGGGTGAGAGCAGGGGCTGTTCCCCCTGCACAGAGTTTGTCCTGGCTGCAGCTTACCTGCTCCGTCGGTGGCGTTCAGCTCAATGCGCCTCTCTGCTGGAAGCACACCTTCAGTCTGGCTTGCCAGCAACTCTGGGTTCTGAGCAGCTGCTACATACTTGCTGTACCATTCATTTCTTTCTCTGACCAGGCGCATCACTAAGTCCTGCAGTTCCAGTAGTTTCATCTGTACCAAAGTAAAGGAAAGCCCATGAAACATGCACACGAACACACCACTGTGGTTTGCAGTCCTACTCCTGTCACAGAATTATTTAGCAAACGAGCACACAAAGGTTAGCACTACCCAGGCCTACCCTATTTGCAGCAGTACAACAGAAAAGAGTCCTTGCCTTCATCTCCTCCTTATCCTGAGCCAGCCTGCTGATATACTCCTCTTTCTCCTGATGCCGCTGTTTGAGGATAGCCCTTTGACTCTGGTACAGTGCAATGTACTCCCCTGGAACACAAGAGAAGCCTCAGGAGTGTCTGCAAGATTGGGGTACAAGCCCTATAGTGAGGTACGAGCCATGAGGACCCAGGAAATCCAGCCCTGTGGAGACCTAGCCCAGTTAGGCAGCAGTAGGAGACATGGAGGGCTTGGTAGTTTGAGAGCTCCAGCTCCAAAAGCTGTTTGAGGACCTGTTCCTCACATAAATAAGGCACTGAGCAAGCTCCAGCCTGTGCTGGTGCTGCCCCAACATACCAATGGTGTCAGTCTCTCCGGACAGCTGGATGCAGCGGTGCTCCAGCTCCTCCAGCCGCTCCTTCAGGTCAGCCTTCTCACGCATCAGCTCTGTGAAACGCAACTGCACAGACACAGTGGGGTCAGGCACCTGGGCTGCCCACCTACAGACAACACCTGTGCTAAAGATAACAGCCCCTGACACTGCTCTGAGCCTGGGGAACAAATCCTGCTCCTTTACAACCAAGCAGTGAGCAAGGTTTTTAGGAAGGAGCATCTTCTTATGGAACATCTGCTTCTTGTTCCCCTGCAATCTGTTTGTGTTGTGTTTGTCTGACACTGGATCCTAGTCTGGCTGAGCAGTGTAATAGGGCTGACACAACATGAGATGCTTTGCTTACCTGTAGCTTGTCCATGGCAGTTTTCAAAGCCTCGTGAACCTCCACTGGAACAGTATCCATAATGGAGCCTGGAAGGGATGTGTGCAATTTACAGTTTCTCCTGAGGCAGGATGCACTCACAGACCCAAAGGTCTGTCTCAGAGCAGCCATGGCCAGCTGACCCAGCACCTCATGATCACACTGTCCCCAAAGTGTACTGAGACTTTACCTCCATCCAGCATGACATGATGTTGCTGCTCCTGCCTAAGAGCTGTGATTTGCTGCAGGAGGGTTCTGCACTGCTGCTTCTGAGCAGCCAGCTGCTTCCTCAGATCTTCTCGCTCCTGCTCCACTTGGGACATGGCAGAGGTCACAAAAGTGACCTAAGAAGAATTTTAGAGTGAACATTAGTGCTTCCCCTGTGTTCAGCAGGATCTATGGTGCATCTCGTGACAGAGTAACAGTTTACCCCATTTTATTTATGGCTGTGAAACCAAAGAACTGTGTGACTGCCCTGGAACTAAGCCAGGCAGCAGCCACTGCCTCTTCTCATTCCC